ATTTTTATAAATTGGATCTATTTTTATTTATCTTTTCTTTTTATTTTAATTTTTACTTTCAAAAAATTTATCATTCGATTTCAAATGTATTAATACAGTAAAATGAATAAAATTTAATTTTAAATTAATTTTTTAATGATCTTTTAATTATCATGCTGCTAATTTTTCGAATTAATATTATAACAAAATCATAATTAATTGTATATTAAATATAGTAAATACATTCAATAACCGAGAAATCTCTAAAGAACTTATATTATTTGTATTTCTTTTTTCATTACTATAGTATCCATAAGATATATTAATTTTATTAATGATTTAATACTATTATCTATTTTTTTTATTTTTATTAACGATTTAAATAATTGTAATTTTTATCATTTTTTTTTTTTTTACGACATGTAGTATATTTTTCTTTCTATAAGAAATTAGTTTCTAATTTAATTCATTAAAAAACATAGTAAAAACTAAAAGTATATATAATAGGATATTTTATGAATTAAATATTAGATATAACAATTGTAAATATTTCTTTTGTTTTACATGCATAGGAATCTTATATAATATATACTATAAATTATTTATCTAAAATGTTAAAAAAAAATTATTCGTTGAATAGAAAAATTATTTTGTGTTTTAAAATTATTTACTAACAAATTATAGAAATTAATTATTAAATCTAAATTTTTAAATATTTTTAATTTTTAATTTAATTATTCAATATGAAGGATTTAATGATTTATATTTAATGTTTAATTTGTTTTTGTTAAATATTAATTTGTCATGTATAGATATTTTAAATCGAAAATAGTATAATTAAAAAATATATACTTTTATTTTTTATCTTTTTCATTGTTTCTTTTTTCTTCATATTATTTGAGAACTGTTTTACCTTGTATATTTGAAAAAATTACAAGTATAATCTATAGGATTTCTATTGTTTTTAATTAATGTTACATTGAACAACGTATTAAGAACTATTCGATAATATTAGTAATTATTTTATATTCAAAAATTTTGTTTAATAATAAAAAAATATATTTTTTTACAACATATTATTAGTATTACTTGAAATAATACAGAAAATTTTAATGGTATAAATATATATAAACCAACTGATATTTTTTTGTAAATTTTACGAAATTTAGAGATTATGGAGCATTCGAAAATAATAAAAATAAAAATATTTCATTTCCCAATAATGATTATCTATATTTATTTGTTAGTGTGTATATTCCAATATTTTTACAGTATAAAGTAATATTCATGATGAAAAATATATTTATATATTGTATTTTTTAAAATTTGCATTATTCCATAAAAAATAATTTCTATAATTTTAATTTTTTAATGTAATTCCACTTCATAGCTTTGAAATTGGAAAAAATAACCTAAAAACAGAATTATGTCATAGAAGTGGAAGAATTCTAGCGGAACAACAACGAGGAACAAGTAGTAGAAGAGTAAGATCAACCAGTTCACATGAAAATTTTTTGCAAATTTGGTTAAAGTCTATTGAAGGAGATTTTTTTGATCAACTAGAAAAATTAACTAAAAATTTTACAGCTAATAATGCTCAGGATTTTTTAGATTGGATGTATCAAAAAGGTGGAAATATTACAAAAGTATTAAATTTATCATCAGATCCTGAGGTAAAGAGTTTTTTTAATAAAACCCTGACTTCATGGAGAAGGGTTACAGATGATGTTCTATTAGATTCGGCATTAGGTTCATATGTTGATAGCTTGTTTAAAACCACAAATATAACAACAAATAATAATGGTTCATCATCTACTTTACCATCTACCTCTACTTCATTATCCACACCTACTCTGTCATCTAACTTAACTACGTCGTCCATATCTACTTCATCACCTGAATTAACCATATCTCCAACTGCTATGCCATCCGCATCTGATTTATCACCCACGGTTGATTTAACACCTACAACATCTGATTCTCATATTCATACTACTACCTCTTCTACAGATGATGCAAGTGATTTACCTACTGTTTTTTCTACAAATGGAATGAATAGTACTATTGCTTTAACGAATAATTCAACCGTATTAACCCCTACGCAACATGGTGGTGGCTTAACTGGTGCAACATGTACAGGATTATTATGTGCACCAGCTTTTGCTGCTCTTCCTATTTCTGTTGCTCTTCTCGGGGGAGTTTTTTTTTTTGTTCTTCTTTATAAGGTAAGACAAAGTTATTTATGCAAAAATATATATATAAATTTTTTTTCTTTTCAAACCATTCATATAAATTAAAATTACATTCATTAAAAATAATTTTTTAATTTTCAATATAGTATACTCCTATTGGTAAATTTCTTGGAAGAGATAATCCAAAAAAAAAAAAAGCAAAAAAAAGATTAAATGAAATACCTATGGAATGTATAAATTCGCCTAAATTATTAAAAGTAAAAAAAACAGAAAATACAAAGAGAAGTAGATTACATAGATTTCTTCGTGCATTCGGTTACGACAAGAATTTTCCCTATATAGATGAAGATATACCCTCAGATCAAGTAATATAATGGCAAAATCTTAACGGAGGAGAAATTCTAATATGTGTAACCAAATAACAGAGAGACAATATAATATTAAAATAACATAAATAAATTTCATTTGGGTTTAATATATGATGTTTTTCTATTATTATTATATTAATGCTAAGGAAAAAATTTTTTTTTTTTCTAGCTACTTATTTTTATTTTTTGTTATATATAAAAAAGTGTAAATATGAAAAAGAAATGTATAGTATCTTTTGAAAAATAAAAATTTACTTTATTATTGATTTATTATTTTCTATGTTTAACACATTTATAAAGCATAGGATGATTAATTTCAAAAATAGTACGTAAAATAATATATATTATGTTTTTTAAAGCAATTATTTCCATAATAGTAAAAAGCGAATATGTGCTGTTTAAATGTTTAACTATCAAAAATTTGTAATATTTAATACATAGTACTAATATAAGATATATCAAGCATTTTGTGCAAGTTAACTGGTAAATTAACTTTTTAATTTATTCTTCAATTGTTCAAAGACATTGATAAAATATTAAGAAAAAAAATTAATAAAGATTATGTAAAATAATATCAACTATATTTGTTTATGTTATTAATACTCTTGTTGTAAATTAAAAAAATAATTTTTTAGTAATTAATATTTATATATTACATAATAAGCATTTTCATAAGCTTATATGAATAGAACAAATGAAAATATTATCACAAAATATTTTTATTCTTTCTATTTTTTTATTTATCTTTTTTTGCAAAAAAAAAAAATTATTAAAAATCACATACAAATAAATTATATATAAAAAAATATTTATTCTTAACTTCAAAACGGTTGCGAATCAAAATCAATTCAATTTGAATATGTTTCGATCTTCTAAAATTTAGAGAGTTTCGATTTATATCTATTTTTATTCCTCTAAGATATGGAACATTCCATTTTGTATGTGATTTATTAATTGCCTACTAACAAACTTCTATAAATTATTTAACACACAAATTAATAAAGAACATGCAGAGTAGTATCCATTAATTTTGTCTATTATCACATATTTTTCCTATAAATAAGAAAGCATTATATAAATTAATTACATCGTATGAATAATTAAATTATATAACTTTATAATTCTTTAAATAAAGATATCTATCTAATTAATTTAGAAGTTATTTAAAAAGATTAATAAAAAGCTTACTCATTTTCTGTAAATCTCAAATATATAGTATAAATATAAAATTTTGATTAAATATATAAATAATGTTTTAAAAACAATTATTTTTGATGAATATTATAATATTTCTCAAGAATTCTCACCCACTTTATAAAAATTAATTCTTCATTTAAAAAAAAAATAGATTATTATTTTCTTCATTTAGAAATAATAAAAAAAATTTTTGCTTTGAATTGGAGTAATCTTTGAAAAATATATCAATAATTTTAACGAAAATTTATTATTTTATATAATATAAATATTTTACCAATAATTAAATAATTTTATAAGGGATATTTATGTTTTAATGAAAATAAGGAAAATTTTTTGCTAAATTAGTGCTCTATTAATTGCTTATTTAAAGGTTTTGTCATTTATTAATTTCCTTTTCAATGACTTCGCTATAAGTATTGATGAATCAAATTAATAAAGGGTATGTAAAGCTTCCTCTACTAATTTAATGAATTTATATATATATTTAAATACTTTGAACGAGTGATCCTTAATTATGTAATCTATTTCATTCAGCATTCATTGATTTCAATAGACATTTATTTACTTTAATAAAAACGCCTATTTTTATTAAAAATTTAAATCCTTATTGAACAATGATTATTAATTAAATGTAAATTATTTATTTCTTTGTTATGAGTTATGCTCAGCAATTTAAATATATTGCTGTTGAATTAACAAACATTAGCAATTAGTAAAAACGCAGATAAATTATATGAATGTTGATTACGTGAAAATTTTATTGTTATATGTATAAAATTTTCTTTTACAAAATTCATCACACCAAAAATTATTTCATTTCCTTCCTTTCAAAAAAAAGAAATTCTTTTTTTTTTTTTTATTTTATTTCTTATACAAATATTTTAAAAATTGATTTTTTTAATCAATTTTTTTTCTGACGATCTTTGCATTTTTTTTTATCAAAATTTTTCCTGACAGTCTTTGTACTTTTTTTTTTTAAAAAAAGTACAAATAAAAAAAAATCATCAATTTTTTTTTTGTGTGTGTGTATATGACCAACTTCGTATTCTCCATTTAACTAGTCCTTTTATTTTCCAAAAAGGTTAATAAAGCCTTTTATTAACCAGTAGAGTAACTAAACCTAAAAATGGAATTCTAAAAGAGATACCTACATCTTATAAAGATAAAGAAATACAAATTCCATTAAAAAAATTTAAACTTTTGAGTAATAAAACGAAGGAAGTATATAAAACGCTATTGTAGAATCTAATATAAGTTATTAACAATAATAAAAGAAACCATATTTCACTAATGAATTGAAGAATAAGGATTATTTCGACGCTTTTAGACGAAACAATGTAACACCTTATGAAAATAATAATTAAGACAGGAAAAATTTAAAAAGGAGTATAAAAAGGACTTGGTATAATAAAACAACTTAAAAATAAAAAAATTTAAGTAATAGCTATTACTTTCTCTTGGTGATAGAGTATGGTTAATAAAAGGCATTATTAATCTCTTTGGAAATAAATAGTAATATCTGAATGGAAAATAAATAGTTAGCCATGCAAATGGTAGATTAAAAAGAAAACATAAAATTATAAATTTTTTTTTATTTCCTTTTTATTAAATTTAAAATACATAAAAAATGTATTTATTTTTTTTAAGAAAATAATTTAAGAGTAAGGGAAAATAGAAGGGATAATTGTTGACAAAAAAAGTTTCTTTTAGTGTATTATTTTTAAATTTATATAAGAATATTTTATATTAGTGATTTATTAACTGGGTGTTAGGTGACTTTTGCTAGAGTGCTGAAAAAACCAATTAATAAAGAGCATGTAGAGATGCCTCTACGATTTTGTTGTATTTATATATATTTTTATATACTTTAAACGAGTAATTCTTAATCGAATGCTCTACTTGGTTCAGCATTCTTTAATTTCAATAGGAATTTATTTACTTTAATAAAAATCCCTATTTTTATTAAAAATTTAAATCCTTATTGAATATCGACTATTAATTAAATGTAAATTACTTAATTCATTGTTATGAGTTATGTCCAGCAATTTAAATATATTGCCGTTGAATTAACAAACATAAGCAATTAGCAAAAATGCAAATAAATTATATGAATATTAATTACGTGAAAATTTTATTGTCATATGTATAAAATTTTCTCTCACAAATTCAAAATATAAATATTATGCAAATTAAACTCTTTTATATAAACATTATTATCTGTTTAAAATCTCATTTTTATTGGTACTAAATCTTACTCTCGATTCTTATTTTACCAATTTTCTCTCACTCATCTAAATGCTTTTTCAAAAAAAATAAAATATATTTTATTTTTTTTTTTTTTATCTCCATTTTTCAAAAGAGAAATATCTCAAAAAAAAATTCCAATAATTTTTTTTTTTTTTTTTTTAGTTAGCACAACCAACTATGTATTCTTCACATAGCTAGTCCTTTTTATAACCAAAAAGTTTAATGAAGTCTTTTATTAACCAAGTATTGAATATATAGGTTAATAAAGAGTATGTAGATTGTCTCTACTAATTTAATGAATTTATGTATAATATTAGTTCTATAAACCACTATATTGTTTTATATATGGCCTATTTTATTCAACATTTATTACTTTTTAGAGGTATTTATTTACTTTAATGAAAAATCCTATGTTTCCATTAAAAATTTAAATCCTCATTGATTATTGATTTTAATGAAATATATTTTATTTATAATGTTATGAGTTATGTACAGCAATTTAAATTCATTGTTTACAAATTAAAGAACATAAATAATTAATAAAATTCAATATAAATTATATAAATACTACAAAATACAAAAATTTTTTTATCATTAATATAAAATTTTCATATATAAGTTTAAACAAATTATACTACAAGAAACCTTTTGTCAATAATTCTTTCTTTCATTTTTCAACTATTAAATAACTTTAAAGATAATAAATATATTTTTTTATGTATTTAAAATTTACAAAAAGAAAACAAAAAAAAATAATTTTTTTTTTTTATCTAGCTCTTGCATGTCTAACTATTTATTTTTCATACAGCTATTATTTTTTATTTTCAAAAAGGTTAATAATATTTTTTATTAACTAATTACTGAGTAAAAAAAAATTTCTCGAATTATACAGATGAATGGACGAAATATTACAGATAAATATTATAAATAAGGTAATTAATGCTGGATGAACTTGGCCTATCTCAATAATTCACCAGAAAAATGATCATTTCATATATTGACAATTTAAAGACTTTTATAATATTGTAAATTTTCAAACTAATAAAGAGTATGTAGAGAAATCACTTTTTATTCTATTTATCACAAAATTAATTTACTTATATAATTGTATATACCATATATAATTATATATTTATAATAAAATAAACTTATTTTATTTCTCGTAGCTTTTGTTTCTTTTTCATACAATTTTATTTGAAACTATATAAAAGTTTACTTATTCTCTTTTTATTAAAAAAAAAAAAATAAATAAAAATAAAAAAAAACCATTTTTTTTAATTTTTAGAAAAAATTCAAATTATATATTTTTTTAATTTTGTTACTATTACCATACATATATTCATAAGAATACTCCAACTACATTTTAGAATGTGCATTTTTTCTACGTATATAAAATTTTGTTACATATATTTTTAGACATACCTTGTTATATGTCTTTCAGTTATTGAACATATACATGAAACTCTTTAAATAGTCTAATATTATTATATAAAATTTCAAAAAGATCAATGAAATATTTTATTGACATTAATGAATAATTGCTCAAGATAAAATTTATTCAA